AAGTGTTCACTATATGTTAAGAAGACTGGCCAATCACCTCTTTTCTCCTAAGCCGGGCCTGCATGTTCCCTCGGGACAACGGTCAAGGCGCTGAGTGACCACACGAAATTATCCTAGGTCACTGTTCTAATCTTCCTCCTTGTGTTTTTCACACCGAAAACGCTTAGTAAAGCGGGAAATGTTCCTTTCGAATTTTATGAAATCTGACGCACGTAATAAACGAAATTATTGTTAAGAAAAATCACATATGCAGCCTCACGTAACATGTTGAAAAGCGCAATGTCTTGAACTTCGTTTGTTTGAAAAAAAGGCGGTTATGCTTGTGGCGCCTCTCTGGTATTAAGCGGCGGGCTTAGGAACTAATTAAGAATGAGTGGTCAGATATAATGAAGTAATCAATCCTAAATAATTTTGAAACGGAATTGTGCTTATCATAACATAGAAATAAAATTAAATATATATTATATGCGAAAACTGCGTCACTACGGAACACTATATATAATTTATATAGTAATAATAATTGCTAATATTAGTGTACAGGTGTATGTTTGTGTACTTTATTATGTTTCATGCGTTTGGTTACTCTATGTCAAAATATGTCGTGATCGGAATTCGGTCAAGCAGAAGTATATTCAATGCTTATGAGGCAGATATTGAAAAGTTTTTATTATATTAAAATATTACAAGTATCAAGACGTCTTTATATTTTTTTTCCAATGTTGCCTTTTACAAATTAAATTTCTTAAAACGCCATCAGATTCTGGTATAACTATAGAATATCTAAACTTCTTGATCTATAAAAGATTTGTCGGCATAAAAATGTGTCTCTTGGAATATCATATTTTCGGTAATGTTTATAATTATTAATCAAAGTATTGTCAACAAAATAACACAATTTTTTCTGAACCAACATGTCATGAAAAATTATAGGTTCTAAGACGCATACATGGAGTAGTGGTAGTGTTTTATTACATTTTTTACAAAAATTTCATACAAATATCAAGACCATCTTGGTGTAGTGGTTTATGTTCACGATTACAAAGCCGTGTTCATTAAATGCATTGAGTATATAAGTATTTATATAGTTTTTTTTTTGAAATCTATAAATGAAGTTCTTTAGTTTTGGCTGTGGCATGGTTTTAAAACTTTTTGAATATACAACCCCTATCCAGGCTGAAAAATGTATATTAGATAATGCAACACGAGTAGGTAGGCTCAGTCGCTTCGTAAATTCTATTTTACATTTTCTGCTTAATTGTTAGATTTTGAGCGGATCCAATTATCTGTGCGGAATGACTCTCAATTGTTGCAAGGGTAAGAGGAGATCATGTGTCCAAACCTGGCAACACTCTGTTGTTTGCTCAATTCATTTTGATACAGTTGATATTACAGGAAATACGCAAAGACGTCGCAGGGAATTGGGTAAGACAGCCATCCCAAAACTGCAGGTTAATAAAATTATAGAGTAATGTGTAGGCTAAGTTGAACCAGCTTCTTTACCAGAAAAATCATAAAGTTATTTTACAAACTCAACCACATATCGAACCCATTATTGAAATATCGGACGTAAAGAATAACGTAAACGAACCACCAATATCAGCTTGAGGTAGCAAATAATATGCCTGTTTGATTTTAATATAGTTGCCGTGAGACGCCTTACGTATCTTAATTACATAAGGCGTATGTATTAGATTTTATGTTATATGTAATTTTTATTATTATTGTTTATATTTATAATCTACTCTTCTCGACCCCTCGACGATTCGAGGGGTGGGAGGATTCCCCCCGGCAGAGGAGGCCAGACTAGCCCAGGCCAGATTATTATTATTATTATTATTATATGTAATATTTATATCTATATGTAATTTTAGAAAAATGTATTTAAATAAGACACTGATCAATCGAGTTGCTCCGATTTATTTATTTTATTTCAGGTTTTAACTTCAGGAACTACTGAAAGTATCACTTTTCCCTCTTCTCCAATCGTTTCAATTTCAGATTTAACTGACATCCCGCTGTCAAATAATTTCGAATAAATAGAAAAAATCATAACTTATAAAAAAAAACAATTCGTTAATAAATATTTTTTCTTAAGTATATGAATTAATACTTAAGAAAAAAACAAAAAATAGATGAAACTGTATTTTTAGATCTGGCCAAAAATGTTGAAGCAGCAGAAGTATTTTATGGTATGTACATGAAAAGTCGAAACAAACTTAAAAAGCCAAAAAGTATGCCCCAGGAGCTAGAAAGTTTTTATTCTCCAGCTGCGTACAAATATGCACGTAAAATGTTAGATAAATGTTTACCGCACCCCCACACTTTGTAATAATGTTATATGTTATATATAAGTTATCATCAGAGGTCGAAATTAGGTAGAGTTATTTATGAACTTGCATCGAAATGTTGATATTAATGTGGACCTTCCCGGGATTTCTTTATTTCTTCTTTCTTTATTTCTTTCTTTCATTGATGTAAGTTTGGCAACGTCGTGCGTGCAGTAGTTTAAATTGTGTAAAAGTAAATAACTTTTTATTTAAAAAATCACGGGATTTTTTCTGCTCTTTAAAATTAATCTCGGGATTTGAGGCATATCCACTTTATTCTTTCGCTGTATGAAATCAGTGTAAGTACATGAATAACTCTACCTAATTCCGACCACTGGTTATTAGACTGTTTACAACTGGTTTAATGAGTTTAAACGTGGTCGCACTAATCTCACTGATGATTTACGTGAGGGACGGCCTTCTACGGCGACGACTGAAGATAACATCTGTGTTGTGCGGCGTATGATAGAGACTGACAAAAGAGTGACCTATCAACAGATTCGGACAAGCTTAGGCATCGGTATGAGTCAAGTGCACAAAATCCTCCACGAACATTTAGCGGTCAGGAAGCTTTGCGCCCGGTGGATACCTCATAATTTGACTGAGGCTCAAAAACTCCATCGTGTGGATTGGTGTCGTAAAATGATTGAAAGATTTAACGGAGGTGACTCAAATGCTGTGTTCGACATACTAACAGGTGACGAAAGCTGGATTTACTGTTATGATCCTAAAACCAAAAGACAATCTGCTCAGTGGGTGTTTCCTTTCGAGGAGTTGCCAACTAAAGTGAAGAGAGATCGAAGTGCGGGAAAAAAAATGGTGGCCTCGTTCTTTGGAAGGATAGGTGTTAGTGGATATCAATGGATCGTGAAAATTACCACTAGCTTATTTTTTTGTTGATATCCAAAAGTCGGATTTGAAAGCCAATTTAATTAATATAGCTCTAGAAAAATGTGAGAAACTTGGTTTAAACATTCGCTCCATAAAATTTGACGAATGCAAATCCAATATTGCGACAATGCATAGCTTAGGATGCGATATTAACGATATAAATAATATTAAAACTCACTTCAAACAAGCGAGTGCCAATTATAATGTCGTTGTGTTTTTGTATGCGTGTCATACGATCAAACTAATTAGAAATATTTTCGAATAAAAAAAAACAATTTATACAATCAAATGGCAATTTCTTACTAACTAATACAATTTGCAGGAACGTTTGCATTTGGCTAATAAACTGACTCAAAGACGCATTCATTTCAAAAATCAAATCATGAATGTTAAGTTAGCCACACAATTATTAAGCAGAAGCGTTGCTAAAGCATTGACGTTTTGTAATAATACTTTAAAAATACCAGCGCTTCAAAATACGGATAGCACTGTAAGAATTTGTTGAAATTATAAATAATTTATTTAATATTTTGTATACTCGTAATCCAAATGATTATGGCTTCAAACACCTCTTGAATAACAAAAATTCCAAAGATATATTACATTTTCTAACTGAAACTAAAGAATATTTACTTTCATTATCAAGAAACGTGACAACAAAAGGACTGTGTGTGTGTGTGTTTTTGATGTGTCCATAAAACATAAAATGTTATGAGGATTTACTCCGTGTTTGATATAAATACATTTCTATAGCAATATCAAAGTTATACATTAATAAAGATGCATTCCCTGAAAGTAACGAATTGAACCATACAACAGAATTACTTAATTTAGCAATTGAAAGTTTTGTTGACGTAAGATTGCACTATATATGCATAAAAGAAACAGCTGAGATTAAAACTAAAAAATAACTTTAATTAATATTGCTATGTTTAATTTCAATTACATGTTGTTTTAGAATTATTTTTATAAAAATCCTTAGATAGTGAGAAAACGACCTCTACTTTGGTGGTAGATAGTATCGATAGTACCTACTGAAAGATTATTTCGCTATAAATTGCCTTCGTAACATTGTAACTTTAAAGTCTTATATTATAATGTATGAAAAATAATGTAAAACCTAATGGTGTTATTACCTAAAAATTAAATTATAATGTGTGCAAAGATAAAATATTTTATAATTGTACTGTTATTTAAATTGAAACCTCCTACCTCCCTAAATTATCAACGTATATAATTACAGGTATATTTTAAAAATAAATTGCCAATGCGACTTCATACCTACCCAGTGTATTATCACAGAATATACTCTATGGTAATATGTTCCTTTAGCAGTGTATGATCTACGGTTAGGTGTCGTATTTGAGTATTGATTTAGTATTGGAGGCGTTATCTTTTTGTATTATTGATTAACGGTTCTGACCTAAGGCTTTGACCTCTTGTTTTGACCTATTTAAATACTTTACTCTACTCTTTGATTTGGCTATGTTTTGACAATGTAACAGAAAATTATGTAAAAAAGTTATTTTCATATTAAATATCAAAATTCAAACAAAATGTGTGATTTTATGTGTAATCAAGATATTTGGTCTACTGAATGTTTATTATTGCAGTGATTTAATAACGCCCTCGATACTATATACTATATATGACGTCCACTATTTATCTAATCATGTATTACACTTTCGTCTTTTTTATGTCTTCAAGTAATTTAATATTTGAAGAATATACCTACTAGAGAAACAAAAATCAGTCACTGAAAAGATGAAATTTAAACCGAATATGTGTTCTTGTTACGACCGTTTTGATAAATATCAACAACTGCAACCAGACATTTCTGAAATAGATGAATTATTCCATGAAAAACTTATTAAACATAGAGACAATGAATTAATAGGCAAGTTAATACAAGCAAAAACACTATATAATGATATAAGAGATGAAATTCTTTATGGTAGTAATATTGATAAGAATACGAGATTGATGATTGGACATCGTCAGTTACCTGCTGGTGACAATAAATATGAAAACACCATTCATACTACTGGTAATTTTATGCCCAAGGGAAAAAGGCTTCAACGATCAAGAATTATTAACAAGGACTATTGCAGTTGCTGCAAATGTATCAACTGTAATCAAAAACGATATCATTCTAAAACATTAAATGGCGATCTGAATTCGACAAAACGCTTTAAAAATAAATATATAAAATCCGAATCTTGTCCATGTACAATGAGACCATTTGATTTCGGAAAGCATGTTAAAGAAACGAATGATAAAACAACTGAAAGGAGCATGTCAACATTTAGTACAATACAATCAAGGCCGATTGAAGTCAAACGAGTCATTTGTGAATGTAAACCAGAAAACCTTTTTCTTGATAAGATCAAATTGGCTGAAGATACAATTCGTGACAGTGTAAGAAATAGCTTTACTAAATTGCGACATTCATTCAGGGAAACGAAAAGAAATTCCTCAGATATAATAAAAGATAAAAATAAAAAAATTAATTGTGAATGTTATGTAAAAACAAATAAGAAGAAGAGTAATAGAAAACTACAAGACTCGAGTAAAGGTAATTTTCGTGATAATGCAAAAAATCGTATAACAAAGTCGCAGTACTCATTTAAAGTAATAAGAGATTCCACAGATTTAGTTAAAGATAGAAACAAAAAAATTAAAAAATGTGAATGTGAATGTAAAAATGAAAAGAAAAGTCATGGGAAACTATCTGAGTTAGCTAAAGATAATTTTCGAGACAATAAAAGAAATAGTTTAAAGAAGTTACAATATCCTTTCAAAGAACCAAGAGATTCGGCAGATTTATATAAAGATAAAACTGAAAAAATAAATAAAATTAAATGCGAATGTTATGGTAAATTAAATGATACAAAAAGTAATCGGAAATTACGTGAATATACTTCAAGAGTATCTATGAAAGCATATTCAAAAATGAAGACCGCAAATACTAAATTTCGTCACAGCATAAGAAATAGTATTACTAAAATAGCATCTACTTTTCAAATGGCAAGGGATTCTATTGAATTATATAAATATAGAAGATTAATAAAACAATTAATGAAGGAGTTAGAATGCGAGTCAGACACGTGTGATCCAGATGAATGTAATCCTTCAGAGTGTTACGAAAAAATCAAATTTAGTAAAAAAGTTCACAATTTTGCTTCTGATTCTAACAGGAAAATAAAAAAAAGATTTCATAAAGAACCAAAGCCAAACTCTGATTCGTGCGAATGTTCAAATCCATCAATGATAAACTTAAGGGAATATGATATATCCAGTAGCTCTACTATTAAACCAGAAGTTAGTAAGGCCGATAGGAAAAAAAATGGCTTCTTCATGCTTATAGAACCTGCTAACACCGAAAAAATTGAATCAAAAAACACTATTTCACCCCCTATGAAGACATCGACTATCTCAACAACTGATTTTGATACAAGTCATCCATGTCCAAAAGAGTGCCAATCATCTATTTGTATTCCAGAAAAATGTTATCAAGACAAAAGTTCCTTAATATCTATGCCACATTCAAAGTCTGATACTGGTTTTATACTCAATAATAATGTGATCAAGTCGACAAAAAAGAAGAGTCAAATAATTGATGACATAAATACGCAAAAAGTTGTACGTTTTGGGTCTAGTTTTAGTTTCAATCTAGAATTTTATAAAACAGTAAGCAGTGAACGTTTACCAAAAGAACATGTAAAATTGGCATCTGAAATTACACCAACAAAAAGATCAGTAAGTCACGCATTGCGAAGATGCTTTTGTACTTTAAAGTTTAAAAATAACAATCAAAATTATGGCAGTGACTCATATTCTATAAAAAATAAGACTGCCCATCCGAATAATCTCAAAACAAAGAAACGTAAAAAGACATGTGAATGTGAAGACAAAAAGAGAGTGTCAAAGTCTTACCCAACGTTTAAACAAAAATCAGAAAATACCGAAAGTGACGCTTGGTTTCCTTCTAATGTTAATACATTTGATGATAAGTCTGTGCAAACAATTACAGATGATGAGTGCATTTGTTTTATGAGTGTTAAGTCTATACAAACTGTAAAAACCGCATCTTTGGACACAAAAATTTTACCAAATCCATTTTGTACCCCGTATGGGGACTCGATAGATTGCAATTCTTACGTTAATCCTCAAACACCGTGTAATTGCACTAGAAATAATGAATACAGTAGTCGCAACACCATTTCTAGTTATATAAGAAAACCTATGTCGGAAGCTTCATCAAGTAGGAGAGAACTTATTCAACGAAATATTATAAAACCACAAATCCGAGAATCATCATATTATAATGACAATATCACAACCCAACAAGTGCTAAGCATAGGGTCTACCTTTAGCTTTAATATAGATTTTTATAAAAATGCACCTAGTAATAATCAAAAGCATTCTGCTATAACAAATTTACATACAGAAAGGCCTTCAGAGTATAAAAGCATCACCGGGCTACAAAAGCCTTATAAGGAACCGGTGATGAAGAAATGCTTTTGCACATTAAAACTTTTGAAAAGAAACAAAGCTGTACATTTGAAACCCAAGAGAATATTTAATAAATCTGCTGCTTTCGTAAAAGATATTAAAAGAAACAAAAAATCTAGTATTACCACCACAAATCCTAGATCCTATGGCACATCAAAATCTTATCAGAAATCACAGATGCTGGCAAGTATATCAGAGCCTACTCCTGATAGACGGAATACGACAAATAAAGAACTTAAAAAAATCGCTGATAACAACAATGTAGGGCGGTTAGGTTCTAGTATAAGCTTTAACATGAAATTTTATAAACGAATTAAACAACCGAATTTGGTGATAAATGACAAATTTCTTAAAGAAAAATACAAAAAACAAAAGTTTCATAAAAATTTACGTCCGGTATCATTGAAAGAATGCGCTGTACAATGTACCGGCTTACAAAAGAGGGCAAGTAAGAAAACTCGAGCTATTATAAATACACATGAAAAAGGTGTGGTAACAAGTTCACCACGAAGACGGTGCTTTTGTGTCCGCAAATTTCTAAAAAGAAATAAATTAGGAAACAGCAAGGAGTCTCAGTTTGGTGATTCTTTTCTTGTCGCACCTAAAACAGATAAGCAAACAAGAACAAAACATTACAAGAAATTTAAAAAGAGGCCGAATATTTGCTGCTGTGGCAACAATGTGGAAAACTTACATTATTGCAAAGACCCCGGGACAGAACAAGCACATAAGTACACATCATCAAACATAAATAGTAATAAAAAGCAAGTAACATTCAAATCACAAAATTTCGATTATGTAACTAAACCATCTAACCAAAATTCTGCACGAATGAAAATTATTTGTATACCCCCCAATTGGAAGTTACCCAATAAAAATAAAAAACATGCTAATGATGATATGATTGAAATTAACAATACATATAAAGAGTATATAGATGAACATCCCGAATTAGTTTCTGTTAAGAAACAATGCTTATGTTCTAAATTTGATAACGGATATAAAGATATAAACATTCAAGATGGAAATATACCTGTATCGAATTTTCCTGTTAAACCAGTATTACGGACATTAGAAACTGAAGCAAATGAAAGAAAAAAAATCCACAGAAGACAATTTAGAGCTAAATCGGTGGAGAATATTGGTGACTTTTCATTGAAAGCTAAAAGAATGCTTTATAGTTGGAGTGATAACAAACCTTACTCCTATGAGCTTTCAAAACAATTAAGTACAGTAAAAAATACAAAACAAAAAAATCGTTTACAGAAGAGGACAAAAGTAGGATCACAATTAAGTTTTGGTATTGATTTCTACAAAAGAATAGAATATCCTAATGCTGACTTTGAAAGAATTATTTACAATCAATCCCCTGGAAAAATCAATAAGAATAGAATCCGAAATTCTAAATTCAGTCCACATCGACAGTATCAAGTCGGATATATGCTAAGCACATACAAACATTTAAAGTTTAACCATAATTATAAATAGTCTCTAAGCGCAACAATGTAAGATTTTAATATTATTAATATGTATGTATCTTGTATGATATTATCTAAATTGTCATATATATATAAAATGTTTATTTTCATCTTGTGTTCTTGTTAATAAAGTTTGTGGTTCATTGATTTTTATTTCATTTTCTGACTTCATATGGCATTCAGGATGAACGGGTAGGCACGGGGCAGGGGCGCGGGAGGCGGAGAGTGTTAAATGTTAAATGATAAAGGCTACACTATAACCCTCACTAATAAGATAATTTATTCCGAGTGGTAAGTCTATGTTTTAGATTCACTAGTGAGCGCGTTAAGAATTTGTATAGAGATTTGTAGTTCATGGTAGTTACCACTAGGGGCGGTGTATTGTACTAGATTCCATAATGATGATATATATGTAGGTGGATGCTAATTGGTCGATTTTTAATTACGGTTAGCTTACGACTTCAGTATAGCAGGCTAGTGTGCACATACTACCCTCAGACCACGGGGCATTTCCACGGGTTCCGGCCTTAGGGAGGCATGGTCCACGCAAGGAAATAGCGCACTATCATGTTTCTGCCTGGATCGGAAAAAATCATGTCGATGGCTCTTCTCGGTTTTTATGGCTTTGTTTCTACAAAGGGTAGTCGAATGAAGTTTTGGCTGCTGGATGGTCGGAGTGAAACTATATTTCTGATTTTCTCTTTCTCTTAGCTTGGCATCGTTATTATTGCCAATCTTGTTTTCAGGCAGGGCTTTACCAGTTGAAATTGTATATTACTAATAAAATCATTTATTATTCCATATTCTTTCGAAGAAGACTTGATTTCAATTAAAAAAAAAAAAATAGATAAAAATAATCACGCGCAGTTGAGTTAAAATATTAACGATAAAGTTAATCACCCGTCGAAACGACACAAAATTCAACTATCTTAAAAACTAAAAAAATCCGTCTACTGCGAAGGCCACTGCAACGATCTCTCCGACCAACCACCACAACACTTTTGTACGCGGCGTTACAAAAAACAGCGTTATTTCTTTGCAGTACCCAGACGGCGATTCGTAAAATCGAATAGACTGTGCTTTAAATGCCTAACTGTGTGACATCGAAGCCTGTGGCCGCATTACCGGTAGCTGCATTGGCAAAAGCCAGTGGCAGCGGCAGCAGAATCTGCGCCGGTCTACGAATCTGCAAAGCAATCCAACAGTGAAATCGTTAACCACGCGATCGTGATCAGGCGTTCCGAAGTGCCTAGTGTTAATAATAACAATAACTCAGACAATGCGAAAGTGTTAAAAAAAAATGCTAAAAATAGTGTCAGTTACTATTCACGGACCCAAACAATGTGTAAAAACGCACGCGTTGTTAAATAACGGCGCCACAGTGAGCCTTATTTACACCGATATCACTGATAAGGCCGGACTACAAGATGAGAGCGTTGTTATGCGCGGGAGTTGGTATGTAAGTCAGAAATATTGGACTTTAAGCTTTCGAACAATGACGGCAACGAATTTAATTTACGTCCTCGAAAAATAAAAGAACTTCAATTTTCATATAATTTAGATTTATGTTATTTTAAAAGTATGTTTAACGTTAGTAGCGACATATGTAAGTCGCTAATAAAACCTATATTGTTTATTAGTCAAGGTAATTATAGTTTAATCGCACCCATTGTTCGTAAACAACGTAGTCAGTCACATCAGTTTAGAAAATTAGCTTCTATATAATAATAATCATACTGGAATAAGGGCTACTCGTAAGAGCAGCAAATAGATATTTATGGCCGGGGATGAACAAGGATAATAGTGTGCGGGCCCAAGCGTGTATACACTGTCAAATGGTAAAAACACATAGGTCACTTCAAATTGAGCACGTTTCCCCTAGCAGAGCGTTTTGAGCACTTGCATGTTGATATTGTGGGGCCCCAGCCGACCACACAGGAAGAATTTAGATATGTAGTAATGATGGCAGACAGGTTCACAAGTCCGCCAGAAGACCGATATAACAGCCGAGGCTATCACGACAACAGTCCACGAACACTGGATATGTGTAGTAAATAAACCAGTGACCACACGGAAAAACTTTTTAGTTTACAATACTACAAAACGTCTAGGTTAAGAGAAATACTGTAAAGATAACTATAATTTTGTACACAGAAACAGAAATATTGTTAACATAAGTTGACATTTTGTAAGCAATACAATTACAGTTCTGTTATTTCTGAAATTGTAATCAGCACTGAAAGTATATTAAACATTACAAGAAAAATTGTATTTTAAAAATCTACAACACGAGTTATGATGAGTACTGAAAATACGTTTGTAATTACAATACAATTAGTATAGAGAACAATCAGTGATGTTGCATTTGCAAAACTTCGCGCGGCTTGGCGGCGATCGAGATGCGGGGGGGTGAGGGGCAGTGAACTTATTGCATCATTTTTCTTTCTTTTAGTCGCGCGCGCAGTGAAGTGACAGTGATAGGATTACTATTATTCTATGGGATAATCGCCCGCCGATCGCTGCCATTACGCTTCCTAATCGTGTTTTATTGTTTTAAAATTGAAATGGACGAAGATGTCAGAAACTTACTTATTGCTTGGGTTCTCAGCGGTTATGTGGATGTGTTCTCTGGTAAGTTTCATTTATTTCATATGTACTCATCATAAATGATATACGCCTGACTTTTTAGATTACATACATAGGTAATTATAATCACGCCCATATATCGGGGCAAGCAAAGCCCTACGGTGTAATTCACACAAGCGGCCACGTCTGACGAGGGAGCTAGATGTTTTTATTGTGTTACTGAGTAGTGATATGACAAGTGCTTATCAGCCCGTCGCCTCAATAGAGTACTTTAAAATGTCCTTTCCCTTCAGTCTGATACTCTGATTTTGGATCTTGCACGGGAATGATGGCAGCTGTTTATCTTTTTCTCCCAGAGCTGCGTATGAGTACATAACTTTGTAAATATACAAAATGTTATGTTGTGAGATGTAGGTGGGACTGGGATATAAAAGTAAATCCTTACCTCTTTTTTAGATATTAGGTACCGGGCTGACTGATCTATATATTTTTTTATTATTATGTATTTTTAATTTCAGAAAACCACATTATGATGGACTGCTTAATGCTGTTGGACTCGCATATTATTAAGAAGCTCATACCACCAGTTGGACATAGAGTAAATTTTATTAAAAATTTAAACAATTGGAAGACCTTGATGGATTCTGAGAACGACAATCAATCCAATCAATCACAAGTAAGAATTTGATTTACATACTTTTAATTATATATAGGGCTTTTGCCCGCAACTTCGTCCGCGTGGCTTTCGTAGCCTATGTGTTGACCCAACCTCATAGTAATATTCATGCAAAATGTTAAGTAATTCCATGCAGTTCTTTTTAAGTTTAGCCCGAACATACAAACAGACAGACAAAAATTCTAAAAACTATATTTTTGGCTTCGATATCGATTGTAGATCACACCTCAAGTATTCTTTTTACAAAATATTCAATGTACAGTTTTGACTTTCCTACGATTTCATTATATGTATAGATATTTGCTATCATTTCCCACTTCAGGCACATTAGGCATTAATCTGTCGGTGCCAAGTTCATGAATCATATTATATTTTCAGAAAATATTCATAAAGACCTTGAGTGGCTTAGAAAATCCAGGGAGCCTTGGAAAACAGTTGAAGAGAAAAGGAAAAATACATTCAAGATTAGACTTGAAGAGACTAAAAATATAACAGTATCTGACTACATGAATGAGCACCCTGTTTTAAAAAAGCCGACAGGGTATCAGCTACTTCTAATTGATTCTACGTTTTAATTAATAAAAGTGTTGATTCTTATTATTGATTGTTATTCTTTTATTGGCATTTTCTGCGGGAACTGTCGTGTATCGACGTGATTGCTTAAAGTTCAGAGCTTTTATTTCTCGGAAAACTTAATGAATCTTGAGAAATAAAAGCATATTTTAAGCAATCACGTCTTTACCGCCAGTTCCGGTGGAATAAGCCAACTACTTTTTCTGGTCCATTTACAAAATAAGAAGTTACCTACACAATACTCTATTGTTGTCATTACAAGTCATTTTGTAATGTGAACGTATCATTCTGTTCCATTTATAATACAATATTTGTCAGAGGTACACAACAAATCGTATCAGTAATTTTTTTGTAGTAAATTAAACGATGCCATTCAGTAAATTTAATTAAACGTTTATATGTTATTTACAAAACTTTTGATTAACAACATAAACTTTCTTGTTGGTAGGACAAAAAAGGATTGTAGACCTGAAAAATTAAATAGTAAAATTAACAATAACAATGTGACAACTACAATTCATGTTTAACTAGAATCATTGTGTAACGCTTACGATACGAGTGGTCGTCACATATAGAGCAATAAATATTGTAATGGTAACCAGAATATGGTTACACATACCAGAATAATTTTTCCGTGCAGATGCGACAGTTTAAAAGTGACTTATTTAGTAAACTTATGAAATATTAGGAATCCATAAAATTAGGACGACCGCGTACCACCCGTAATCCAATGGCAAAATAGAGAAATTGCCGGTGCAACTTCTTAAAAGCGCGTTAGTTACAAAAGGTAAGTGGATTGTGGGTTGGTAAATTACTTATGTTGTGTGTTGTGTATGTCGAAGCGACAGCGTTGACTACTAAACTGGACAGCTAAACTGGAATAGAAGAGAATAGCGATTGTGGAAAAAAAAATTGTTCATAATGATTTAAAGTCGTGTAGTCAGGTATTCGTACGTAATGATTCAGTTCAGAAGCCATTGATGACTAGTTATAGTGGACAGTACCTAATAGTTAGTAGATCACAAACAGAAAACCAAATATTATTTAAATAGAAACCGTCGAACAACCGTTTCTACAGACAGAGTAAAACCAGCTTATTGTTTAAGTGAATCTTATAATGTTTGAATATTAAGAGATTATGAATATGAGAGCAAAGTAAGTAATCAACAAATTACGGTGATACATTAAGTTGGATTGTCGCATGACGTCTTGCTTTTATCATATGGGTCATACAAAGCAAAAAAAAATGTTCGGAGTGCACAAATCAAATTTCAATGAACATTTAATTTATTTATTACTTCAAGTAAAATTCGTTATAGAAAACTAAATTATTTTGAAAGTA